TGATAAAAATGAGAAAACAACTCTAAAGAAAACTCTCTAAATTCTCTAGTATTTGGAGAAAGCTAGAATGATTTGGGATGGTTTTGAAGCTAAATGAGTTAGGGTATTTATAGTTGAAGCTTAAGGACTAATCTTGTAAATATTCTAAAGTACAAGGATTAAATATGTAATTATCCCATTACCCAATTTCAACAAATGTTGCACCGAATGTTGAAAACAATGTGCATACCACTGAAAGTTTTTGGCCAGCTTTCCACCTACAGAAATTGCTCAATTTGCAGTTGCCAATTTGGACTTTTAACAAGCTACCAATTTAGACTTTTAACACATTCCTGCCCTGAGGACACTTAACAAGATGCTTACTGTAAGGACATGGATATGTTCTGTTTCTTGTGTTATTTCATTGCAGCTTACAGTTTGGTCTGATGAGGAGTTAACATTTGTGTGCATGATGGTCTGGATACCTTCATGGACCAGACTAAATTCTATTACTTGTTGAAAGATGCCCCGGACTTCGAAAGAAGAAGAAAGGATGATAAATGGTGGTTGTCTATTGTTACATGTCAGTCGGGCGGTGTGTCCGAAGCAGTACGGAAGAATCTGAAGGTTCAGAAGGAATGTGTAACACAAGTTCTTAAAGCAGCAATGACCATCAATGCTCAACTCCTATTAGAGATGGATATCCCTGAAAGCTACATTGAATCCCTCCCCAAGGTAAGTAATGAAACTCTCTTGAACCTCGGGTTTATGCAACTCGATTCTCACATCGTGTTTTTGGTATTGCATTGTTAGAATGGGAGAGATAGTCTCAGTGATTCGATCTATAAGAGCATCACAGACGAATTCTTCGATCCGGATCACTTTCTTTCCAGTATGAACTCTCATCAGATCACAAGATTTATACCTCAAAAATAGGGTTGAAACATCTATAGTGATTTGGAAGAGGAAAATGCACCAAAAGGATGGGAAATCATGGGGCTCTGGTGTCAGCATTGAGAAAAGAGAACTGTTTGAGGAAAGAGTGAGATTATTCTACACCTTCTCAAGGAAAGGTTCCCTGGACTCCCTCAATCTTCACTAGACATTAGCAAAATCGAGTACAACAAGGTAATTTCTTCGGCCGATGGACCGACATTCCGAACGAAACAATACGAGTTCTGTTGGTGTTACACAAATCTTAGGCCATTGAATTGATTGAGTGTTGTTTGGCATTACAGGATGTAGGGAAGGCTGTCCCGGAGAGCTATTCAAGAATACTGAAAAACTTGACACACAGTTCTATCCCAAATCGAAGATGTCATCCAAGCTGATTTTCTCCCAGTAGAATCGAACCCTTTAAAGAGGAGAGGAAGCCTGCAATGACCAGAGACGATTCGATGATAACCCTTTCAGATTTACTAACTTGGGGTGCAGATCAAAATGAGATTGAGGAACAAAGAACTTGATCCAAAGAAATTGATCCAAAGAACTTGCAGAAGCTAAACATGTTGATTAGCAAGAAGGTAACTTATTTGGACAGCTTGAGTGGATCAAAGAGCCCAACATCACGCCATTAATGGAGGAGAACATGAAGATTAAAGGGGAGAAAAGGAATAAAGATAAAACTGGAAGAAGGTAGAGAGATAGAGGGTGATAGATCTTGAAGTTAGCAACCGAAAATATCATTCTTTTTATTGATTTTGACTTCAAAATTCATTTCTTTAATATAAAATATTACTACACCCTGATTATTGTGTATTTTTTAAGAATCAATCTTTCTTTAATTTTGACTATTTATCTAACTTCTGTTCACATATTTTAAGTTTTTTAGTAATATTTGATTCATTAAGCAAAGAGAAGATGAAAGCAACGATGATAATCCTCCTTAGGTTCCATATGGAAAACATCCTCCTCCTGGGAGATAAAAGATTGCATGACGTAAATGTTTAAACTCGATTTCTCTAATTCATTGAGATAATTTATTGAGTTATGCATGATTAATGATATAAGAATGGATATATAACAACTATTAGTTAGTTGAAACAATGAATTGTTTAATCTTTTAAATAATATCAGTTTGAATCTGAATTATTCAATTAATTTTATATAAGGTAAACTATTTGAATAGTCCCTTAATTATAAGGAGAGTTGCACGAACCAACTTACTTCAATGATTAAAGAAATCATTGTTGTTCCTAGAAGTCCCGATTCGAACATCAGCAGCTGCAGCACGGTGATTGAGTATTCATTGTCAAATGATTGAAGAGTACTCAGAACAAATACTAATTTATAATCACCCTAAATCAAAAAATTAAACACATTGATGTAACTATTAAGAAAGTTTATATAATTACAAATTTGACTTTTATTATTTAAATAATTTATCAGTTTTATCCCAATTTAAATATAAATCAATAAGTTTATTCATTTAATCAGTTGGTGAAATATATCACCATTAGAGAAATTTACTCTTAATTTTAATTAATTTAATTAATAAATTTTTATTTAATTGGATAGTGATACATAATTTCATCGGATGAAATATTTAAAATCAAAGTGGGGTCAAATCTAAGAAATGACAGTTTTTAATTTATTTTCGAACAACAAATGCCAACTATTATTAGAATGAAACCAAAACAATAGTCCCTCCGATCTTCATCCATTGGAAACGTTGTTTAGTTTTTTTCTTTTGTATTTTGTACCGACGGTATCAAGAGCACAAGATATATTTTTCTGGTGACATTTAAATTTCCGTTTAGTTCTCTCAAAAGATGCCTTGTTGTTAATAATCATGAAGCTTTATATAAAGAAGACACGTATAATTATTTTAGTGGAAGAAATTCGAAATTTGATCTACATTGTTTAAAGTAAACAACCGATAAAGGTAATATCAACGTTATATATGTCTATGACCTTATTTTAATTTGTTCTGGGGGCGAATTAAGAGATAAAAGACTTCGAATAGTGAGAGCTCTCGATCTAGTGAAAATAAATTTAAAAGTTATTCGTCCAGAGATGAATACGTTTTTAGGCTTAATGTCGTGGAATCGTCACAACATTGCCTTCCCAGAAAAAATAAATCGAAGCATGTAATTGTCCTACCAACTGTTCGTGTAATTCATACCACCAACTTTGAAAAATAAACTATAACAATCTATGTACTTGTTATGCTTCTTGTTTTCTAGAACCATGAAATAATTTTGTTTTGTAACATTTTACATAAAGGTCATGCTTATAGTTAGTATGTCTATTTATAACAATCTAATTTTTATGTTATTTTATTAAATATTATGTAATAAAAATATTATGTGTAAATATTATATTACGTAGTGGTTATGTTATTTTATTAAATATTATGTAATAAAAATAAAAATGATTACATTTAATTTGAAATACATAGCTCACGTTTCCAATACACGAGATATGTTGAAAACCTCTCGCGATAAATTCTTCGGGACATTTCGATATCTCGGGTACTTCATATTTTGTGTAACGCGAGGTCATTAATACCAAAATTAAATTACATTTTTTGAAAAGAGTGTCCATGTCGGACATACCTCGTGCCTTGTACATATCGAGACACTTACTCGCTTTTCTTAGGACACGAGGTAGTTTTACTTATGCAATTTAGAAGTATTTTTCTAATAAAACTGGTGAGAGAAGTACAGTTAAAAAATAATAATGCCGAATAAGTAAATAGTGGTGAACAAACTAAAAACAAGGTAAGCTGGAAAGGAAAATGAAAAAAGACAACTTACTGCAGAAAGGAGGGAGTCAAGATGAGTAATGTCTATAGAAGATACTGCCCTGCTAGAGCCTTCAAAGTAGTTTGTGATGCATTTAACTCATATAAATAAAAAGAGAGAATTAAGCTAAGATACCTCAAAAAGAATATTATGTCTTGGAGTAATATAAATAAAAAATAAATAAAAAGACACCTGGAGCAAGGCGATAACATCAGGTGCAAGATGATTGGAATGGTGCATGACCCCAACAAGCTGGTTGTAACTAAATTTATGAAATTTTAAAAAATCATAAAAAATAATTATCTTGCAACAAGAGAAAACTCGATAGGGTTGTTGTAATTGAAGTCATAAATGAGAATCGATATCAAGCCCACGACAGTAGCAATATCAGACAGCCAACGACATACGCTTTTTGACCCGACTGGACAATTGCAGCATTGTAAAGCACTCGGTACATAAAAGCCAAAATTGTCGAGCCCCAATTGGTATTACGGTACACAATGAAGTCTTCCAAATATCAAAAATACTAAGTGTGAACTAAATTACCATATTTATCCAGTAATAATACCCATTTGATCAGTTGGAGAAGATATGCTTGAGACGCGAACATAACCTCATCCTCGGCAAACTCGTTCGTCACTTGGAATTTTGATTCCAACCATGTTAACCATACCCGAAAGTCGTCGATGATGTCGGATGGTGGCCATTTTCCCAAAACTTGGTAGACTAACGATGCGGGGTCGTACATGTTCTGACTCACCATGGGGGCTCCATTCATAGGAACACTGAGTTGGTAAGTGAAGTCTTCCAAAGTAATGGACGTTTCACCACTCGAGAAGTGAAACTTGTGCCTCTCGGGCCACCAACATTCGACCAGAGCCTCAATCAACATCGTGTACAACTTGAAGCCTCGCACAAATATGACCGAAAATAAACCGGATTGCTACATATATATCATGGTCCGCTAATGTGACTCTCTGTATGTCATCCTGCACTTACAAATATTCCATTCATCATCCAACCGATGTACGATCGACGAAACATTAACGTTATCCATGTGCAATATATATTCTTAGGTTGTCATTTTTTGATATTTTGACCGAATATCATTGATTTAACGTGGATATATATTGCAACAAACACTATGTAGCAACAAATTTAATAGCATTTTTATTTTTTTCTACTTTACTAGCACAAACACTATGTAGGCAAATCTTTAACTGCAACAACAGTCATTTCATGACTTTTAACAACACCAGTCAAGCTAGGGTTGGTTCACTTTAGAGTCTGCATGGCTATCGTTGGTCCCTTGATTAGCCAACTCCTCTTCTTTTCTCCAACCATTCCCTGCATGGCTAACTTTGGTTGGTTGGTCACCACATGGTCCATAAGCCTAGGCAGAAACAAAGAAATACAGTAGATTGATAAAGCTCAATATTGCTAAAACCCAGTAGTAATTGTCAATCAGGGCCGATTTTGACTTTTTCTTGACCCGGGAAAAAATTAAAAAAAATGGGCCATAATTTAAAAGAATATTAAAAAATATACAATATAAAATTTTAATTATTTTTTTTATCAAATTAAATAAATTTTAATTCAATACAATATCAAAAATGTCAAAAACATATTTAAGTATATAAATACTTATAAAAAATATTGTCTTCGAACATTTCTTGATGCAAAATCATGGATGATAGTGTCAACATCAATGCTTTCCAACATATTTTTCTCAATATATAACATAGCTAGCTCATTCAATCTTTCTTGTGACATTGTTGACCTCAAGTAATTCTTCAATAATTTCAGCTTTGAAAAACTTCTTTCCGCGGATGCTACCGTTATCGGCATTGTTAATAAGATTCGATAAGCAATTGAAAATTAGGATAACAATCTCTAGCTTTAACAAACTCAAGAACTTTAAGCGCTGATATGAATACATTTGGCAAAATCAATTGCAACACATTCATTTCAGAATAAAAATCATCTGCATCAACATCCGACAAATTATTATGAGAAAAAATAATCTTAAAATTATTACAACATTCTTTTAATTTATTGTCATCTAATGACTTCAACCTTGTAGAATCAATTAAAAATCTAAAATAATTTTCAAAAATCTTTAACTGCTCAAATCAATCTTTCAAAAAAGCGATCGCCATATCAACAACAAAAAAAAATAATTAACTTTAAAAGACTCCTCTGCTAATTGCATTTCTTCATCATGGTCATTCTCATCAAATTGTCTTTTTCTAAAAATACGACGCTTAGTCGGAAAAATTAGCTCTATGTTCATATCTAATGCATAGCAATATTTATACTAGCTTCAAACCCCTTATTTCTATAGTTTCCAAATTGACATTATGATTAATTTAGTTTTTAACGTTATGACGAGAACAATAATTCAATAAGAAATAAGTTTATAGGCCATGCTTCTAATTTAGTTTATTAATATTTATGGGTCCTACTTTTAATTTAGTATATTAATATAATTTTTAACGTTATGATGAGAACAATAAGACAATAAGAAATAAGTTTATGGGTCCTCTTACATTAATTAAGAAAATAGTATATTAATATTTATGGACCCTATTTTTAATTTAATTTATGAAAATATGATAAATTAATATAAATTAAAATTATGGGCCTAGGCAGGTGTCCGTCTTGCCTCTGCCTAGAGCCGGCCCTGTTGTCAATACGACCTTTGTTTATATTGGTTGAAACCCAACTCTCTTCTCCACCTCTTGATGTAATGTCATCGATGACGCTCATGACGACGCTAGCTAATAAGTTTGCCACGGCCAATCCGAGTCCAAATAGCGCGGCGGCTATGCTTGACTTGCTCTTGGGTAGTTCGGAGTAAAAGAACTCGGTCTGGCCTATTGCAGTGAAAGCCTCAGCTAAGCCATTCAAGACAAACTGTGGCACAAGCCATAATGCAGACATGTTCACAACTGCCTGAGGATTGTTTAAGAATCCTTCCCTGATCGCTTTTCTTCGCCTAGAGTTCTCGACGAATGCCGAAACCGCCATAGCCATGCTCGTGAGAAATTGACCGATCCCCATCCTTAGTTTGACGCCGATCCGTACCAATTTACCCTTGAGTTTCGATGCCATGGGGAGAATGGCACGATCATAGAGAATAACCCATAGTGCAAGGGATATTATGTTGAACATTCCATAAGAGCCTGCAGGAATCTGAAACTCCTTTGTGAGGTGCCTGTCCATGGAGGTTGCTTGAAGTACAAGGAATGAATTTTGGCTTAAATTTATCGACATTATGATTCCAGTAGACCACAATGGTAAGACTTTGATAAGTGCTTTTAGCTCTTCTACTTGCTCCACCGTGCAAAGACTCCATGGATTTGAAATCGTCCAGTTCCTTTTGCAAAGACTTGTGATACTAGAGGAATAAGATTGATAATCGACCTATCTTTTTAAAATCAAAACGTTTTCAAATCAAAAAGAGCTCGTTGATTCGGAAGTTGTTCTGATTTATAGTTGGGAGGAAGAAGAATCGGTTGATAGCAAGTTCGACTTCCTATGAACACACTTGGTGGGTGTCCGCTAAGAGAAATTGAGATCGGACTTGATTCTCATTGAGGCAACATAGTTCAGTTTCGGCTGGACGAATGAAAATGAGAATGTTATCTTTTGTGGGGCGATTAACACTAGTGAGGTCGGTATTATCAAACATACCGACCTCCATGAACATGTTTAATGAGTTTCGTCATTGGATCAACAAAAAGACTGACGTGTAAATGATCACTATGTATCTTGGGAGTGTATTTTTCAAATCCCACCATTAAAAGCCATCTCCATGAAAATGCATTTGCGCAGCTCCAATGGTTCACATTGTTTAAAGAAAAAATTACTAGTATTGCTTGCTTAACGGTTCTAAACCTGTATTCACATGTATTGCTACTACTGCCTAAGAACACGATGTGCAGCAGCTCCCTTGTTCCGATGTCCCAGATGCAACGAGCTTGTTGCAGCGATGCAGCGATGCAGCGGTGTTGTTGAGCATAAAACTCGTGGTGAGTAATTTTCATAGTAGCGACAAAAAGAAAAGGATGATAAGAATGTTATACGCTCGGAAATCTGTATTTGCATACAAATCATTTCAGAAAAATGAAGAATTTTGTTTCGAAGCATATGTAACCCCAAAGGGTATTAATCATTCATTTTTTCAACTGTTACTCGGGTTAACTCACGGAAGAGAAATTCTTCAAAACTGTATTTGCTTTTATGTTATCCAAACTAAGGTAGTGTTGGATTCATCGTGCTCAATTATTTTTACATGTTTCTGTATGTGCTGGAAATCTGTTTCGAACATACTCTAGCCGTTCTTTTTCTACCGTCATCATTTTGATTCATCTGTCATTTGCTAGTTTTGATATGTATCACCAGAATTTTAACATGATATTAGAGTCACAATGACTTGTCGTAGATTATCGTATCGTTCTGATCCATCACTTGTTGCTTGTGTAACAATTGCTCACCCTGTCAATCATCTTTGTTGCTACCATTTTTCGATCTTCAGTCGTTATCTGAATCATTTGAAATTGTTGATGTTCCAGTTATCACCGGATCTAACCATGATAATCTTAAATCCGATGTGTTTTCCTGCCATTTGTAATAAGTCCATTGCTGATCGAAATCATAATAGTTGTCTTCATTGTTACGCTTATGCTTTACTTCTTCGTTATTTGGTGTCTTCTTAGTCTAATTTTTCTCAAATTTTGGTGAGATATCTCCTTTTAATTTTCTTACCTATTGAAGTACCATGTTATTTATGCTCTTTCTTATGATTCTTATGCGATCTTCTACATGCATCTGATTTAATATATATATATATATATATATATATCAAAGTTACTTCTATTGAAGTACCATGGCTAATATTAATAATAATCCTTAAAACGATGAGAGTAGGGGTATAAATAAACTGAGCTTGAATAAATAAAGTTATGTTTGTGTTCGTTTATTTATTTTTAAAAGTTTTGTGTTTGTTCGTTTTGTGTTTACGAACATATTCGTTCAACGTTTGCGAACATGATTATTTAACATTTACGAATATACTTTTAATGTTCGCGAACATGTTTAGTTAACGTTAATTTAATGTCCAGAAACCTAAAAGTATTTCTTCTACCTTATATTTGCGAGTCAAATAAAAATGGTGAAATTATGCCACTAATCTTTAAGTTCTTCATATTTCACAGTTTGAACTCTAAAGTTCACTTATGTTCAATTTAGTTTTTATCTTCATCAATACTTAAAATGTAAAAAAGTAAAACAAAAAGAAATGGAGAATTGAGTAAACGAGCTTATAAACGAGTCGATAAACGAGTTTATTCGTGAACATAAACGAATTGAACATACTTTTATCCGTGTTTGTACGTTTATTAAACAACATAAAATTTTTGTTCATATTTGTTTATTTAGTTTAATAAATGAACGTAAACAAAAGCTATACGAACAATTCATAAACAGTTTATCAAACGCTTTGTTCATTTACAACCCTAGAAGACAGTAATCAAAACATTGTTAGTAACAAAACTTCATCTTAAGGATTATCTTCTAATCTACTAAGAAAATATACGTAATGCTTGATGACCATAATTATCTGCTACGCATCAACAAATCTTACTCTTACTAACAATTAAAGCATGTAGGTTATCGAAATTCACTGATAGCAACGTCACATGGCCACCACAATCTATCACTAAAGAAGGAAATGATAGCATAAACCTTGTCTTTGAACTATATAAAGAGAAGGATAGAGCTCTTGTTTTATGCTTATTCTCTATTGTCAGTGACCTAAAATTGCGTATGAAAATGTGAGGTATCCAAATTCAAATGTAATATATCATCTCATCAATGACATTAATAATATGCAAGTTGAATATACTTATTATAAATGACAATATTCTATGTTTATTAAATATATTTGTCAATCTACCTTTTTTACTTATTCTAAAAAAATTAATTAAAAAATTATTATTTATTTAAAGTATTATGAAGAATTTATTGTCTATGTACAATCAAGTTGTACTTGAATTCTATGGAGGTATTGTCAAGTACCATCAAATGGACCATTGGGTTATGGATTCGATTTCAAAAATACAATATTATTATTAAGGGTAAATGACGTGTTTAGTACTAAAATTATTAATTTTAATATGTTTTATTATTTAAATTATTAATTTTAATATGTTTTAGTACTTAAATTATTAATATTTTAAAATCATATTTAAAGTTTATTTTTCTTTTATTTTAGTATTTTGTTTAAAATTTAACGTTATTTTTTTTAAAATTAGAAGTTTAGATACTAAAACAGACCAAAATTGATAGTTTAGGTATTAAATGCGTTAAATTTTTGATGGGATACTAAAATGAAACAAAACTAAACCTTAGATATGATTTTGAAAATTATTGAAAGTTTAGGTGTTAAAATGGGTTAAAACTGACATATTAGGTACTAAATTCGTAGTTTATCCCATTACTAATGAGCCGACAATTTCAATCCAGTACTTCCATTTCGGTCAGTCCAAGCATTTTCAGAGTTTGGGAGAGAAAGGATGACAGAAAAATGGAAGCACACGGCTCTCCTTGTAATTGACATGCAGGTTTCATCTTTCATCTTACCCCTTTCCCCTTTTTTTAATGCAAATTATATATACTATTATGGCATATGAATCACGAACATTGTAGTTGGATTTCTTCCCCTTCATTGAAAATGGAAAATTTTGGGTTTTGGATTTTTTTTAGAATGACTTTATATTAGATGATGGGTTGATGAGAGTAAATGGAGGCAACGCCATCGTTCCTAATGTCATAAAGGCTGTTGAAATCGCCAGGCAGCGTGGAATTCTCGTCGTCTGGGTAAATTTTCTATTCTCTTATTCACTTTCATCTTTCAGAATTTTCTCTATTCTCTCCGTTTGGTTGGTTGGAAAATTTCACCTACGATGTTTGGTTTATCTAGAAAATGAAAAACCAAAGAGTCTTTTTTATGTTGTCGGTATAATCACATTTATCCGATTTATTAATCGATTAATCTGAATCCCATATGCGAGAGGCCCAATATATATGAAGGGACACTCCCAATCTAGTTTGCTCAATTCGCAAATGCTGGGATTCGAGCTCGTTTATTGTTGATGCAAAATGGTTTATTTTTTTAGTTTAGGGACGGGATCCAATTCTGAGAAATGAACTTTGGGACAAATTCATATTCTTTGAAGTAATTTCAACAGTGTTGTTACAAAGTGCTTCTTCGTTTGTAATCGCTAGATTGTGAAAAGCTTAATTTCGGGTTTAGGTTTCGTGAACACGATTATTTAGGAAGAGACGTGGAACTCTTCCGTCGGCATTTGTACTCTCCAGGGAAAGAGGGACCAACCATGAAGGGAACTTTAGGTGCAGAACTGGTGGATGGCCTTGTAATAAAAGAAGGGGATTACAAGTTGGTGAAGACTCGTTTCAGCGCATTCATTCTTTCCTTCAGAGTAATGGGGTAAATAGTTTAACTGTCGTCGGTAAGGAGATATCGAAACTTGTGAACACTTGAATTTACGTGATTAATTGAGAGGCATTTCTCTCTTTATGCTACATGGAATTAACATTTTCATTGTTTTCTTGATTGTCTGTGGTAGGTGTTCAAACTCCAAATTGCATCCGGCAGACTGTCTTTGATGCCGTAGCACATAATTACCAACCGGTTACCGTTATTGTTGATGCCACGGCTGCTGCAACACCTGATATACATGATGGTACAAAATTTCGCTTCCCTAATCAATTTATCTACCACTAGGATGATGAAAATTGAGTTGATATTATGCAAGAAAACAAAGAAAATTGCTTGGTGGCCCCTACAAATTGCCAGTAGACCTAAGTTAGCATACCAGACCATATGCATGAGAACGTAAGCATGGTGATGCACTTATGCTTATGAACTTAATCATTTATATAGGACGACTTGGAACCTTTAAATGGCGATATTATTGAGTTTTTGGTGGTTAAGAAACTTTATAAAACGGTTTTTGTGGAGATTATGTTAGCTCAAATGGGGGAATTATAGGAATGAAAATCCGATCTCAGACTTGCAGACTTCTATGGTGGTAGTACCGTAAAACAGTAGAGAAGAGCTGATTTTGCCGTGGTAGACTATATAGGTGACTATTTTAACGCTTGTATGAAAGAACTGGAATATAACTAAATGAGGACATGGTCTTGAAAGCCTTGTTTGAGGGTGCTAGAGGGTAGTGACTGTTGACCAAGGTCTTTCATCGAGTTGATGAAAGAGGTGCAATTCGAAACTTGTAAGGAGGGGATGATGTAAGGAACCATCCGTCCCGCCTCATT